TTTAAGCATCATGTACCATAATGGTGATAACACAAATTTAATGGAAAATAATCAAGTCTCCAAAGCCATCTTCATTCTACGGACCCCCGATAGTACACTAAATAATATCAATGGCATTATCACAAGATTAATCAATGCACAATATCATTTGGAAGAATTTGTAGACAAATATTCTAGAATGAAAGTAGAAATAGAAATACAAGATGTCTTTAAAATAATAACAGAAACAATTCAGGAAATAATCGATGATCAAATACCTCCATCAGANTTTAAAATAATAACAGAAACAATTCAGGAAATAATCGATGATCAAATACCTCCATCAGAAAAGATTGTTCTTCTAAAAACCCAATTAGAAAAAAGTGAAAACAACTTTTTGCAATTTTTTGAAGAATTAGGATTTGAATACGACAAAAAAAGCGAAACTGTTTCTGTTATTCGACCTGGTATACTTGGCTGGTTAGAAAAATTTTTCTTTGGATTGAGTAATTATTTTTAAATTCTAATGAGACAAAAATAAATTTATAATGATGTTGAACAATTTGTACCTAAAATAGATATTTTTAAAAAAGATGTTTTTAAATAATTTACTAAAAACTGTGGAGAAAAAATTCTGATTATAAACCTAAAACTAATTATGAAAATAAAAAATATTTTAGACGAATATAAGTTATTATTAAACAAATTTTTATTAGTATAAAATTAAATAATTTTTCATTTAATTAATTTTTAAGTCAATTAACACGTTTTTAATTTTAATATTCGTATCTCCGAAGTAAGGGTAAACGCTAAGAAAGATTTATCGAAAATTGCTCAGTTATACCTATAATGTATTTATAGAGATATCAACTTTATTTTTTTTAAATAGCACTATATATATTTTACTAGCTCATAAAATAAAAAATGATCTAATTAACAAATGGACCAGTATATAATAACTTTTAGACCCTTGCATCAGAGGATATTGACAATTTTATAATTTGGCAGAGAAGGAGAACGGCCGAGAAATGACAAATGATAAAAATAGCAACATTCGCGCTTCACGTCCAGACTATATTTTAAAATGCTGATCATTTTCAAAGTATTGGTCCAAAAGTTGTTTGGATCAGTCAATTTCCAAATTATGCTATTTTTTATTTTATACGTTAGTTAAATATGAATGTGGCTATTAATAAAAAAAAAAATTGACTCCTCTAAAAGACACTGAGGATGGACCAAATAATAATTATTTTATGACAGATAAATGTGTAACTTACAAAAAAATGTATTGCTCTAAGAGAAATCGAGCAGCTAGCGTCAAAAGAATCGCTCTGTATAAAAACTATTTCTAGCCGAGATGACTTGGAGGGCAAACAACCGAAAATGATGTAGCGAAATAAAAAAAACCCAGACCTTGGTCGTCACCTTTACTTAGCGGTGTTATTGTGTCCGGGGGGAGTTACAAAAAGGGCATCTGCCGTTCTGCTCGCGTGTGTGTTGGCAATACAACGTTTATGAATTACTGCTAAGCAGGACAAAAGGGATCGTACGTCTTAATATTTGTGTCGTCCAAATAAATCTTTTTACTCCTTTTATTGGTGTGCACACAGAGGAAAACACGCTATTATCACAGTGTTAGCAATGTTTGTTGACAAAGCGGAGAAGACGAGTTCATCATAGTCTCGTCCGACACACACACACACACATCCTTTCATGAAATCCAACGTACAAGCCGACGCGGTGCACATGCTGCGGTCGCCCAAGACATTTCCCCCGCGCCGTTGCCGTTCACGGAATAAGACACAATGTACCTGTGTCTATTATTTCGCTGAAATTTTTTATTATTGTTATGTGCATGTACACACGCTTAACGGGCCAAAGACAGGTGACCGTTTTTATTAAATTTTTGGCACAAAAGAATACTTATATTTACCTCGAAAAAGAGTTGAGTGCTTATTTTTTTTATGTT